CCGTCCCCCAGGGAAGAGGTTATATGTAGATCCCTGTAATCAGTTCCCCCTTTCCACCCCATCCTCCCTCCACCCTCCCAGTATCGCCACTCTCACCACTGGTCCTGGAGGGATCATCCGTCCTGGATTCTGTATTTCCAGTTCCTATCTGTACCAGTGCACATCCTCTGGTCTAGCTGGATTTATAAGGTAGAAGGTTTGCATTGTAGATCATCAGTTTTACATTCAGCAATTCGTGCACATTTTGCTTCAGTCATCCATCTGAAGAGCACATGGATTATTTCCAAGTTTGGGGTTATTCCACAGAAAGGTGCTGTCAACATTGATAGGTCTTTATGTGAACACAAGTGTTTATTTTCTGAGAGACAGAAGCCTTCACGCCCGCGTGAAGGGGTAAGATGACAACGAGTACTGGTGGCCACGCAGAGAAACTGGAGCGGCACACATGCCTGGTGGGAATGTAAAACGGAGCCACCACTTAGACAGACAGCTCGGCAGTCCTCAGAACGTTCCATAGAGTTACCGTATGACCCAGCAATTCCACACGAGGAATATACTCACCAGAGACGCGAAACCAGGTCCACACTAAAATGTGTGCATTCACACTCATGGTAGTATTGTTCAAAACAGCCCGCTGCCCACCTGACGGCGAGTGGATGCGTAAAGTACGGTTTATCTGTTCTGTGGAATTACTTGGTAATAAAAAGAAATGAAGTACCGACATACGCTAAAATGTTCACACATTATGCTAAGTGCAATAAGGAAGCCTAAATCGGGGCCCAGAGTATATGATTCTATTGGTATTAAATGTCCAGAAAAAGCAAATCTAGAGGAGAGAAAATGTTTTAAATTGATGGTAGCGATGTTTCGCAGCTCTGTAAATATATTAAAAACCATTGAATTGTACACTAAATAAGTGAACTGTGAAACTTTTTTTTTCTTTAAAGTCCAAACATCTTCAAAATCCCTTGGGAATATTTGGACCTGCTTCTCGGTTCTCTTCCTTTGATTTGTGTGTCTCTTTTCTACCACCAACTATGGGTCCTGGTTACCTTGGTGGTGGTGGTAGGTGGTGGAAGGGAGGTGGTTATAGTTAGGTGCCATCAAATAATTTCCGACCCATAGCTACCATGTACACTACAGAATGAAAACACTTGGTCCTCACAATTGCTCCTGTTTGGTTACTGTGGCTATATAAAGTTTTAAAGTCACGTAGGGTTCTCCGTTTATTTAAACCTTGAGTTTCATCAGCTTTTCGTAGTTTAACATACAAGTTTTGTTAAATTTGTACATGTTTTGTTAAATTTACAACTTAGTATTCCTTTTGTTTTTCATTCAATTTTTTTTTTCTCAAAATTGCTTCAGCTTTTCCCTTCCTTTGCCTTTCTGGGTAAACTTTGGAACAATCTCGTCTTAAACATAAAAATAAATCTTGTGATTTGGGTGGGAATCGTATTAAACCTATCAATTTGGGGAGAATTAACATGAATTACTATGTTGAGTCTTATAAAAACATGAATTACCTTCTCCATTAATTTAGACCTTCGACTCACTCACTCTCTCTCTAATTCACTCACTCTCTCACTTTCACTCACTCACTCACTCACTCACTCTCTCATTCACTCACTCACTCACTCTCACACTCACTCACTCACTCTCTAAAAAAAAAAAAATTTAGACCTTCTTTGATTTTTTTCTTCATTTTTATGTAGTTTTCAATATATAAGTCCTGTACATGTTTTTTAATTTGTACCTTCATATTGCTTTGTTTTTCATGATCACAAATGGTGTTCTATATGATATTTTGCTATCTATGTGTTAATGCTAATAGAGAAATCCAATTTATTTTATTATGTAATTATTTTTATATTTTAAATGAATTTTCTTATTAGCTAACCAAAATAACTCAAATGACAATTTAAAATTTACTCTTAAGTACTAGAAAGTTTAACTACCACTTAGAAAGTTTAAAACTCAATTATGTTTAACCTCCTCCCTGGGGGTGGACAACAGAAAAGTGGGTGAAGGGAGACGTAGGACAGTGTAAGATATGACAAAATAATTTATAAATTATCAAGGGTTCATGAGGGGAGGGGAAAAATGAGGAGCTGATTGATATCAAGGGCTCAAGTAGAAAGCAAATGTTTTGAGGATGATGGCAACAAATGTACAAATGTGCTTGACACAGTGGATGGATGGATGGATTGTGATAAGAGTTGTAAGAGCTCCCAAAATGATTTTAAAAAGAAAACTCAATTATGTGTTTATATGATTAAGAACATTAGAATTAGCAGACTGCTACATTGCATGTACATTGCCATTTCACCTGTTTGAAGGAGTCATTTACCTTTCATGTCTACTAGTCATTTTAGACTCGTCCTTAATGTATATAGCATTTCTCTTAAACTTAGGAAGTATCTTGGACTTAAATACTGCAGGTGCTCTCTTGACCATCTCTAATACTTCCATGATGACTGTTTTCCAGGCTGGTGTCATTCAGCATTTCTACATTGAAGACTGGCAATTTGTAAACGAATATCGACATCCTTTCGGGGTGAAAAAGATTTTTCCTGATCCAAATGGGACAAGATTGGTTTTCATTGATGAAAAGAGTGAAGGATTTGTCTATTGCCCAGTAAGTTTAGGGGAAAACATTTTTAAAAAAATTTTTAATGCAATATGAGGTTTTAAAGTATACATCATATATAAAGTTTTTTTTTCTTTTCAACAGTGGAAGGGATTTTGTACTTTGTTACCATGTTTGTGAATGAATTAGTCACAAGACCATATCAAGAAATTTGGGGAAGCAGGAGATAATTATAAAGATGACCTTGAATTCCCTCTGTAATTGGAAGTTCAGTCCTATAGAGCTTTCTACCCCGAGTGCTAATCAGATCTCTGCTGTTTCCTGCTGTGTGGGCAGGCAGGTGGAAGCTGCTGCCTAGGCCGCGTAGGCAAGAGGGTAGGAGTATAAATCAAGTCAAAGCTGGGCTGAACCTGTTGGGGGGCGGTGGGTAAATCGTATGCTTCTGGCCATTTCGCTGTTTTCCTTGTACGCTTCTTTCCTTGAGACCAAAACTCACTCACCGCCAACCACTTGTGACTGACTCATAGCAACCCTTCAGAACAGAGTAGCACCGCCTCTGTGAGCTTCTGAGACTATCACTGTGAATGCGAGTAGAGAGCCCCCGTCTATCCCGTGGGGTGACGGGAGGTTTCCACCTGCTAACCAGTAACCACGCCACCACCAAAAGAGGCTAGTATGACTTCCCCCATGGGATTCGGGTTTGGTTTCAGTGAGGCAGTTTCCCCAAACATCTCATCAGGCACAAGGTGGCAGATGTTAACTGAAGTCCTCCCTTCTTTGTGGAGTAAACACTGAGCTGCTGACTGAGGTCCAAGCCACCAGATGCTCTGCAGGAGGAAGGTGAGACTGGCAGTTCCTGCACACATGTACAGTCTCAGATCACTGCGTTGGAATTGGCTTGATGGCAGTGGGATTTTTTTTTTTCTCCTAACTTTGAAGCAGTGGGATTTTTTTTTTTTTTTTTTTGGCCCCACTTTGAAGCCCCTAAAGCTTCCGGATTTAAAGCTTCTTCCTGTTCATCTCCACTCCCGTTCCCAACCCTAGTCTGCAGCTCAGTGAAGAGTTAAGAAGACAAAGTGCATACACAAAACTGTGAGAGAACAGGCTTTCCTTTTCCCTATGAGGATGGATGCTTGCTTTTGCTCCAAGTAAGATCTGATTGATAGCTCTAGGTGGCGTAGGCCAGACCTAAGGATCTTTGGTGGCACAGCGGTTAAGTGTGGCTGCAAACTGAATGGTCGGTCAGTGGTTCAAACCCACCAGCCACTCCAGTGGAGCACGATGGGCAGTCTGCTTCCATCAAGATCACGGCCTTGGAAACCTTATGGATTAGCTCTCCTCTGACCTATTGTTGAAACCCGCTTCATTGTAACGTGTGTGTGTGTGTGTGTGTGTGTGTGTGTGTGTGTGTGTGTGTCTCCGTGTCTCCTTGGGCTGGGCAGGGCACGAAACGGATGGCGTGTGCCTGAGGCCTGCTTGAAGAGCAAGAGGCTGCTGCTCTGAGTTCTTTGGGACCAGCATGCTGTGTTTTGTTTTGTTTATAAAAAAAAATCTGCCCAGTCATAGTATGTTACTATTGTAGCTTAATTTCCATTCAACTTGAAACAAGTTGTAGAGAAACAGTCTCAAAATAGTAACACTACTTTTTAAAATATTGAAACTAGTCTTGAGACTTCTCACATTCACTTGTGATTCTTCAAATGGACACCGGCTTTCCTCACTGTGTGGATGCCAAGAAAAATGAGTTGTTTTGTAGATCTGAGTTGGGAAAGATGAGCTCTTTTCTTGAATATGTGTTCCTCAATCAATCTTATACCCTGCGACTCCCCAACTCCCCTAAAGGGTAACTTGGGATATATTATAGTAAGTTCATAAGCATGTAATGCTCCAGAAGCCGTAGTCTAATAGTTAAGGGTCTGGGTTTTAAAGCCATACAGAGAGACAGATCTGAGTTATTGAGGGTAGTAACAGTAACAAGTAAGGCTTTGTGCTGAAATTGCTTTCTGTATGTTAAGTGATCTCTTGATCCTTACAGCAACCCCAGAAATAAGTAACACATATTGTTTCCATGTAGCAAACAAAGAATCTAAGGCATAGAGATCAGCAACTTCTTGTTGTCATTCGCAACACTACTTTTCCAGTTACTGAGTTCAAGAATTCGTTGCACTGCCACACAGAACCCACAGATTATATGCATGAGTAAAAGGCTTAGAAGAAAGTTAACAGGTTGTAATGAAGGTGAGAGAAGCTCAGGATACAGTTGTTCACTCAGAACACGTTACAAAGTTCTTCCAGGGTTGCTGATAAATGCCCAAAGGGCATGCCACTCTGCTGTGAGCCTCACCCTGAGGGCCCTCAGCTCCAGCTCCATGGGTCATCAATCCAGCATCCCCAATTAATTACCCAGAGGCTTTCTACTCTAGTAAACCACAACTTGAAAGCATTCAGCTCTACCTCTTTGGGTCAGCAAACCCAGCTCCCCAGGTTAGGTGCCCAAAGTCACCCCACACACAAGCTTTCCTACCTCAAAGCTTTACTTGCTCTGCAGGCTAGGAAGTCCACCGCTCTGTCTCATGCTCTGACTCCTGCTGCTACTGCACCTCTGCTATCACAGCTGTCTTCTGGACCCAGCAGGTTCATTGGGCAGGAACATGCTCCACTCTTAGCTCTTGCTGGTAGTAAAATCCTCTCTCCTACATCTCAGAAGGCTCATTTTCTATGCAGCAGGATGGCAAGCCAGTGGATCCTGTTAACAATTACTCACAGGTGGATCCTATCAGTGTCTTTCAACTACCTTCTTACCCAGACCCAAATGGTAAAATGTTTGATGGGAGTAACAGAGACTTTGTCTAGAAGAACCATATTAAATTATTCACTGCCCCTGCACTGGTCCAAGGTCACACAGCCAATGAATGATCTGAATGATGTAAACCATGGGTCCCCCAAAAGAGAAAAGATGGAAGTTGTGAAGGATTTCATCCTCCTCGGATCCACAGTCAGTGCTCATGGAATCATCAGACAACTGACAAAAATGAGGCGTTTCATTAGGTATGTCTGCTGCACAAGACCTCTTTGAAGTGCTGAAAAGCAAGGATGTGACGTTGAGGACTGGAGTGCGCCGGACCTAATCCAGGTCTATTCAGTTGCCTCCTGTGCTTGGGAAAGCCGGACATGGTCTAAGGAGGCCTGAAGAAGAGCTGGTGTACTTGAGTGGAGAGTACCGGTGCTGGTGCTGGTGCTGGTGGAGAGTACTGGAAGTACGATGGCGTGCCAAAAGAAGAAGCAATTCTATGCTGGAAGAAGTACGGCCCCAATGCTCCTTGGAGGCAAGGATGGGGAGACTCTGTCCCACCTACCTCAGACATGTTGTCAGGAGAGACCAGTCCCTGGAGAAGGACGTCATGTTGGTAAAGTGAATGGACTGGAAAGGAGGCCGGCCCTCGACACAGTGGATGGACACAGTGGCTGCACCGATGGCCCCGGTGTAAGAACAATGGTGAGGACGGTGCAGGACTGGGCAGGGTTTCCTTCTGCTGTCCATGGGGTCACTGTGAGTCAGAACCAACATGACGGGACCTAACACATAGGTTCCCAAGCACTCATCCGCCCCTTTTCAGAAGGAACAAGTTACTCAGCGGCCCCCTGGCACTTCGTACTAATGTCTCCCCCGCCTCCTCGCCCTCCCCCCAGCACTTGGGGGCTAAAGCCCATCATCCTGGATCGCTGTAGGTTTCTGATTGTTCCTGCGCCCCCTGGGGGTGGTGCTGCCTGCCTTGAGGAACACCTGTATCAAGCTGGACTACATCTGTCTCTGCAAACTCATTTGGACGGCACTCGCAGTGTCCTCATCTGTAAAGTGGGGTCCAGCCTTGTGGAGTGGATGTGGGAAATCAGTGAGCTCATGCTCAGAAAGCTCTTCGTGCAGGGTCTGCGGGCTCTTCTTGCTTGCCTCCAGTCCGGTGGCTTTGGTGTGCTGGTCACTCATTTGTACAAAGTGAAAGTCATATAGCACCGTGGTTCCAAACGTAAGCTCTGGCGCCAAACAGCCTGGATTCAAATCCCAGCACTCCGGCATGTCAGCTGTGTGACTTGGAAATTTCTCTTTGCCTCAGTCTCCTCATCTGCCAGATGGGGATGGTAACAGTCGTATCCGTCTTTGAGATTTGAGGTTAGAAATTCAGTTTCTTGGCTGTGCACTGAAAAGTTGGCAGCCCAAAAAACCCTATGGGGCAGTTCTGTTCTGTTGCTGTACTTGATGGAAAATCAAGTCGATGGCCTCTAACAACAGCAACAAGAGCATGTAAAAGTGATTGGCGTCATACCTGGTGAGCAGCACTGTCCAGTAGCTAAGCCTTGGGCTGGTTACTGCAAAGCCAGTGGTTCAAACCCACCAGCCAGCCAGCCAGCCAGCCAGCCTACTCCTCTGGAGGAAGATCAGGCTGCCGACTCCCTTCAAGATGTTTAGCCCAGAGCCTGTGTGGAGAAGCTCTACCCTCTCCTCTAGGGCCACCGTGGGTCAGAGTGATTCGATGGCAGTGGTTTGGGTTGTTTTTGGTTGGTTGGTTAACTTTGTAATGTTGACTAGTCCCATTTAAAACGAAACTGGTAGAATTCATTATAATTCTGTTTTATTTCTTTCAATATTACTATTCCAACGTGATCAATACTAAAATATTGTTAGCGAGGCTTTACATTTTTTATCATACTAAGTTGTTGAAACCTAATAAGTACTTTGCAAGTACGCATCTCTGAGATTGGACCAGGCACATTGCAGTACTGAGCTGCCAGGGGCTACCAAATTGAACAATACTGCCCTATAACTTGAATTACTATTTGGGGGAATTTGATATTTTGTTCTTATATTTTTTAAGAGGAAGGTAGAGTGGGAGGAGGCAGGTATTTCCAAGCCATCCACCCAGGATCTACAAACCTCGCTGCCTTTCTGAATCCACAACAAGCGTGTGGATTGTTTTCCACTGTTTACATGGATTCACTTGCTACGACAGGACATGGTGTTTATTAGAATATATTGTAGAGATGCCTTTGGAATCAAATATGCCTACGGGAATTTATTTAAATTCAAGTTAAGTCATGTTTAAATGTTCTGTGTTCAGTATTACTGAAATTTTTCTCGACACAGGTGTGTCGTGATTTAAATCTGTCATCACAAATATCTTCACCTTTTGTTTCTTAACCCGAAGCTTTGCATCTAGACTTGTGGCTTTCCCTACAAATTCCCCAAATGCTAGGTGAAACCTTTGGTGTACCACGTAGTACACTTTCTGTTAGAAAGCCAGACCTAGGATAAGAAGTAGGAGCTGTGTGGCGCAGTGGTTAGGAGTAGGGCTGCGAACCCCAAGGCCAGCAATTTGAAATCACTGGCAGCTTCTTGGGGAAAAGGTAAGGCTGCCTACTCACGTGAAGAGTTACAGTCGCGGAAGCCTACGGGCGCCATTCTCCTCGGTCCTGTCGGCTCAGGATGAGTTGGAATCCAGTCAGTGGCACCGGGTTTGAGTTTCTGGGGTTAGCCTCGGGACTGAACGTTCCCTTCCTTCCCACTACGACAGGAGTGTGAAGGCTGGGGTAGACAGGCCGGTGAACTCGGCCGACCCCCCAGCACCAAGCCCAGGCTTCTGGCAAAGCAGATGACAACGGTGTAAGCGCAGATGCGGGACACGGCTTCACATCCTCTCTCGTAGGTTAATGATGCTACTTATGAGATTCCCGACTTTTCACCGACAATTAAAGGTGTTCTCTGGGACAACTGGCCAATGGACAAAGGAGTGTTTGTTGCGTATGATGATGATAAGGTGTACACGTACGTTTTTCACAAGGATGTTATCCAAGGTAGGTACTTAATCCCTCTGGGGGGCTTTTGTTGGTAAACAAGCCTCTGGTGCAGTGAAGTGAACACAGGCCTGTCTGGTGTGTGTTTTAGGCACTAAGATATGTGTTTTATAATTTAGGCTCCAAGGTCATTTTGGCCGGTGGCACCAAAGTCCCCTTCTCCCATAAACCTCTGCTGCTGTATAACGGAGAACTGACGTGCCAGACGCAGAGCGGGAAAGTCAACAACATCTTCCTCAGCACCCATAGCTTCTGCAACTCTCTGAAAGACGTGGGGCCGGAGGAGCTGAGGCAAATGCTGACCCAGACGCTAATGCTGAAAAGGTAGGGCTTTAACAGCCAAAGGCAAATCCCAGGAAACTAGCTGCAGGTCGCAGCGTGTATCTCATTTTGCCTGGCTGTACTTGGGCACCTAGAAAGCACCTGGTTTTAGATTGCGCAGAGGCTCAGAGAAGCTCCTGGATATGGATGTGCACATGAGTTCTAAAGGAAATACCCCTGTCAGCCATTGTTGGTGGTTTGTTACAACAAAAGTCCTTCAGATCAAAAAGGATGATAAGAACTGCCCTCACCACCACCCCAAAAAAACCCTGCAAATTCATTGCTATCAAGTAGATTCTGACTCATAGCAACCCTGTAGGACATGGTAGAACTGCCCTGTGGGTGTCCCAGACAGTGACTCTTTACAGGAATCGAAAGCCTCATCTTTCTCCCACAGAGTCACTGGTGGCTTCAGACTGCTGACCTTGTGGTAAGCAGCTCAACCCGTAGCACTACACCCACCGCTAGGGCTCCTTGTCTAAGAACCCAGATAGCTCAATGATTGTGGAAGCCTAAGAAATGGAGTTCTTTCAACAATACCTTGATTTCATCATTAAAACGTTGGAGCTTGCCTTGCTTGGGACTTCCTCTTACCTCGTGGGGCCACTCTCGAGTTCTCTGTGGGTCTGATGGTCTGTCCGTCTTTCATAGGGTGCAGTTCATCAGCACCTCATGAGCTCTCTTCTCGTTCCAATTCTTCCTGAGCCATCTCTACTCACGTGGCTTCAGCTACCATCTATACAGGGCTGATTCCAAACTCTTGCTGTGATGTAGTGGATTATGAGTTTGGGGGCTAATTGCAAGGTCTGCACTTCAAATCTGCCAGATTCCCCCTGGGACAAAGTTGAGTGTTCTGTAAAGACGGGAAATCCTATGGAACAGTTCTACTCTGTCCTATAGGTAACTGTGAATCAGAATTGACTTGATGCCAGTGGATTTGGGCTTGGGTTTATTTGTTTTTGATCATTGTGAGCTCCTCAAACAAGCCCTGTCAAAAACCGAACTCCCAATCTTCCCCAGGACCCTGTTCTTCCCATGTCCGGTGTGTGTGCTTACCCTATCACATGTGTGTACACACACACACAGACACACACACACACACCAGGTCCTTTTCTCCACTTCTTTCTCCTGCCATCACAGACCCTCACTACCTCTCACGTGGAATACTGTAGCCACCCCCTGCCTGCTTCCTCTTCCATTGCTTGATGACCTTCTGATCTGTTCTCCACCCACTCTTGAATGTTTTAATCTGATGCTCTTGCTGCCCCGTGAAGATCTTTCGGTGACTTCTTACTGCCTTCAGAAAAGCTCCCACCCCTTCAGGACCTGAGCATGGTGCTCTGGACACACTGGTGACTTACTGCTGGCCTTACCTGTCGCCCCTTCTTGACTTCCTCTCTGGTGCATGACTACTTGAGTTCCGTGTTTTTCCCATCCTCCTCTGCCTTGGCACATGTTCCCTCTCCTTGGGATGCGCTTCCACTAACTGTATGTAGTAACTCTTCGTTGTCCACCAGTCAGTGGTGGCCTCCTCTCCTCCAGGAAGCCTTCCCAGACCCCAGAACCACCACTGGCAGGCTAGATGGGGGGCCTTACTGATAAGTTGCATCAGGGCTAGAGTAATAATACCACTTAACAGCTCTGTGACTTTTCAGGTCTCTCAACCTTAGTTTCCTGCCTTGCATAGGGGGACTAATAATAACGTGGAGTGTAGAGGGACGTTGGGGTAATTCCATGAGAGAACCCAAGGCAGGCACTTAACAGTAGATTCACATAGTGCAATTGCTCGGTTACCTCCCATATTGTGTTCAAGCCCCTGCTAAGTGATCTCCTTCTTCTGTTTCTTTTCCCTTCCCTGTTAGGACTTCCTCAAAGACAGTGACTGCATGCCTTTATCTCTGTATCTTGGCCCTAAGCACAGTCCCCGACACACAGGAGATCCTCAACAAATGTGTGTTGGTAGATAAAAGGATAGATGAGTGGATGGGTTCAATGCATTGCCTGAAAGGGGGAAAAATTATTTAGCCTTTATGTCCATTTTTAAAACCAGAGGTTGGCAAACATTGTCTGTAATGGGCTTCCACTCGGTCTTTACTTGACCCAAACCACAGGTCATCAAACAACATGGATACCTGAAAAAGGGACTGGGAATGAAGAGGGGCAAGAGACACGAGAAATGGAGACAAGACAGGAGTCTGATCAAGCCTCGTTTATTGAGCAGAAGGCAGAGGCCTAAATACCCAATGGTGGGCGGGTAACATTACATCATATGCTAATAAAGCGTAACAGGTAGTATCCAATAATCACGCAGCTACCAAATATGGAAGAAATGGCAGGCATCAGTCCTCAAACAGGTCCGCATGCAAATGAGGTGCATTTGGATGCCTGGCGGAGGTGTCCAATGAGGATGGCGGCTGCCTGCCACCGAGCACCAATCATCACAAAGGTCAAGCAATTAAAAAAACTCAGGCAAGACAATAGGCCAGGGAACATCCGGGAATGGGAAGCTTAAAGACAGCGGACGGCGCAGGCCGTGGGCTGAGGGACGTGCAGACTCCCACATGTGCAGACTCCCACATGTGCAGACTCCCACATTTATTTATAACAAGAGGCAGTGACTGGATTTGGCCGGTGGGCCCTCGTTTGCTCACCTCTATTTTAAACGTCTCCCGTGGCCAAGAATAGAGTACCAGAACGTTGGTGATTAACCACCCCCCACCACCCACCACCCCCCCACCCCCGGCACCCCAGAATGAGGACGTGTGCCCTCGGAAGGTGACAGCCTGGAGAAACTGGCCACCTGCTGTGGTTCTGCTCTGCACAGAGTCTCCAGAGTCAGAGCCGACTCCACGCCAAGTAACAGTGACGGCCAGCTCAATGAGATGGCACACACAAAGACGCTTTGTCTAGGAATTATCTAAAACAAAGCAGAAACCAATCATTGACCGAACCATTGATTCTGTCATCTCATAAAATCCTGAGAGTTACCAAGGGCTCAAGTAGAAAGTAAATGTTTAGAAAATGATGATGGCAACCTATGTATAAATATGCTTGATACAATGGATGTGTGGAATGTTATAAGAGCTGTATGAGCCCCCAATAAAATGATTTTTTTTTTAAATCATGAGAGTTCTGGGAGGAGGGATTCCAGAGACTAGATTCAGATTAATCAAGGAAATTCAAGGGAAACTTTTATCAGTACAAATAAGTGTGTTTTTTTCATAACATGCAAATAAAAAGGACACATTAAGAAATGTTTTGCACAGTACACCTAGGGCGTGATACTCAATTCGATGTCTCCTGAATTTGCCCAATGGCTGTCTGACAAAACACATGTGCTGTGTAGGTTTCCAGATGCCTGGGAGATGTGCAGGATCCTGAATGACCATGCTGCCTGGAATGAGTTGGCCAAAGCCTGTCTGCATCACATGGAAGTGGAGTTTGCAATCCGAGTGTATCGGGCCATTGGGAATGTTGGCATGGTGATGTCCTTGGACCAAATAAAGGTATGTGGCATTTTATAAGATTCTTCAGCTCAGATTTAAATACTGCTTGTTCAAATATTTTTATATTTCTGTGGTGGTTCTTACCCAGTTCATACATGTGAATTGATTGAATAGTGCCACTTCTACTGAACAACGTCTTTTAAAAAAAAATCTCACCCGGTGTTTCATTTCATCAAAAATGCTTTGACACCCTCTTGAAGCTGTTACCGTATATGTCTTTCGGTATCTGAAACCCAGGATTGATGAGCCTATAGAGACGGCAAGTAGAATAAGGATTAGGGGGAGGTGGTGGGGTGAAGGGGAGATGATGTCAAGGAGCCCATGTCGAAAAGGAAACTGATAATGGTAGCAGTTGTACAGTTCTGCTTGGCGTGATTGAATATGGAATGATGTGATACGTAGGTTAAAATAATAAAGAAAAATGCTTTGACTTTCAGGGAATAGAGGACCACAACCTTTTGGCAGGACATCTTGCCATGTTTACTAATGATTTCAACCTGGCTCAGGACCTGTACCTGGCGTCCAGCTGCCCCATGGCTGCCCTGGAGGTATGGCCACAGATAAAGATGGGATGGAGCACCTGCCAAGGGATTCATACCTTTGGTATAGTTCCCATGTCCCAGCAGCGTATACTGCTGACTCGCTGATCACTGCCCACTGCTCCTCAGCCCTGAATGCAGTTCAGCTCTGAGATCCCCTGACTCGCTTCAAAAATACTCTTTGCAGTCTGTATTCTGGGGAGGCATGAGAGTCATAGTCTTATGCTATGACCAAATAAATTAAAAATCAAAATGCACCCCAAAAGAGTAGATTTTGTCACAGGGCTGTACAGGAGGAGCCAGCATTTACTGAAAACCACTGTGTGCCAGGCACTATTCTGAGCATGGGACAGATATTAATTCATTTCACCCTCCCAACAACCCCCTGTGAACGCTGTGTTCAAGATGGGAAAACCAAGGCACATTCTCCTCTTGCTTATTGTCTGAAAGTCCCCCGGGATTTCAGAGGCAGGCGAGGGATCAGTGGACCCTCGCTAGCTGTGCCAGAGGTGAGCATTGCGGGAGGGAGAACAGGATGGGGGGAAGGCGTGAGTCCCAGGGCAGAGAAGGAAGGAGACGTGGCAATGGGGAGTCGTGATTAAGAACAAGGATTTGAAGTTCACACCAGAAACACCAATCTCATTGCCACCGAGTCCATTCGGCCTCACAGCCACCGGTGGGACAGACTAGAACTGCTCCCAAGGTTTTCTGAGGCTGTACGTCTTTTTTTTTTTTTAATCGTTTTATTGGCATGTACAATCCTTATCAGAATACATACATCCATCCATTGTGTCAAGCACATATGTACATTTGTTGCCATCATCATTCTCAAAACATTTGGAGACTGTAAGTCTTGAACGAAGCAGACGACCTCATCGTTCTCCCATGAACCAGCTGAACTTTTGGATGGCAGCCCAACACGTAACTCACTGAGCACCAGTGTCTCCACTGAGAGGTGATGGGTTTGAACCACCCGCCTTGCCATTTGCAGCCCAACTGGCACCCCCATTCTGTCACCAGGCTCCTTGTACAGTCAGACACCAAACTCCAAAACACTCACTGCCTTTGTGAGCCTGGAAGACGGGCAGAACTGTCCTTGTGGGTTTCTGAGGCTCTAAATCATGCTGGGAACAGAAAGCTTCATCTGTCTCGCACCACAGAGCTGCTGTGTTTGAACCACCAACCTTGTGGTTAGCAGTTAAAAGCATAACCCCAACTGGGTTTCACTCTCGTCTTTGTGTAAGCTCAACTAAACCAAACCAAACACCGGGCCATCGAGTCGATTCTGACGTATAGGGACCTGCAGGACAGGGTAGAACTGTCCCCTCTGAGTTTCCGAGCCTGCAACTCTTTATGGAAGTAGAAAGCCCTGTCTTCCTTGGAGCAGCTGGTGGTCTTGAACTGCTGACCTTACACTTAGCAGCCCAATGAGTAACCACTATGCCACCAGGGCTCCTGTGTAACCTCAGACAAGTGATTTAATCCTTCTGAGCCCAAGACCCACTTCTTCAAAGGGACAGTATCAGCATCTACCCACAGAGTTTTTACTGGGACTTAAACTGAGATTAGATCTTTTAGCATAAAGACACAAATGGTAGCTATTGCCCTGATTTGTGATATAATTCCCCTTCAAACCAGCCTTTCTACAATTAGAGGGGGTGGGTTTGAAATGTTTTTGCTACTAATTTCAGAATTTACAGCAAGTTTTAATTTCTGAATTTCAAGTGAACTAAATTAACTTGAAGAAAACTTGGATACGTGTCCTGGTATTCTGTGAGATCACTGGGGACACCTGAGAAGTTTTCACCCTTGAATTGGTGCTCACTGAAGTAGGAACACGGCTCCAGGGGCTGAGGAGAAGACATCCTCGCAGCTCTCAGCACTGGGCTGTGTATCCTGGTCATGTCCTAAGAGGTTCATGTGAGATTTGAGTCCGTGTCTTCCAAATGGACAGGGGTCACTGCCCCGTGTCGTTCCTTTCGCCCCTCTCTGACAACTGATGAGCGTTCACCAGGCAAGCTTGTTAACCTGTGTCCAAAACACAGCCTCTGATGCCTCCGTTTCTGCATCTCTGAAATGGGGTTAGGAAAAGGTCCTCTTACAGAGTAAGCTGCATGGTGCTGTCAGGCAACCATTGGACTGCTAGCTGCAAGGTCAACCCTTCAAACCCACCAGCTGCTCTGCAGGAGAGAGATGAGGCTGTCTGCTCCTGTGAAGATTTACAGCCTCGGAGACCCAGCTAGGGTCACGATGAGTTGGAATCGGCGCAATGGCACTGGATGCTTTTTTATTTTTGACCCGAAAACACTCCTATAGGTCAACAAACAGACCTTGAACTATTTACAGGCTTTTCTTTTTTTTGGTCATTGGTTTGTTGTTTTGTTTTCTTTTGTTGCTTTGTTTTGCTCTTGTCTTGTTTTTTGTGCATATTATTATCTCTGCAGCAGGTCTATCTAGATAAGATAGGCTGGACACGCAATCTGGAGGAGAAAACAATGGGACCAAAGGTTCCAGGGGGACATGGGAGAAGGGGAGGTGAGGGGAAGGAAGTGGGTATTAACAAACCCAGGGACAAGGGAACAACAAGTGATCCAAAATCTATGGCGAGGATGGTATAGAGGTCTGGTAGGGCTTGATCAAGGGCAATGTAATCAAGAGGAATTACTGAAACCCAAATAAAGGCTGAGCATGATAGTGGAACAAGAGGAAAGTAAAAGGAAATAAAGATCTAGGAGGCAAAGGGCATTTACAGACATCTAAATACAGGCATGTACACATGTAAATATATATGACGATGGGGAAATAGATCTATGTGCATATATTTATAGGTTTAGTATTAAGGTAGCAGATGGGCATTGGGCCTCTACTCAAGTACTCCCTCAATAGAAGAACACTTTTTTCTATTAAACTGGCATTCCATGATGCTCACCTTCCCGACACGATCGCTGAAGACAAAAGCGGGTGCAGAAGCAAATGTGAAGAAAGCTGATGGTGCCCAGCTATCAAAATATATAGCATCTGGGTTCTTAAGTGCTTGAAAATAAATAAGCAGCCATCTAGCTGAGAAGCACACCGGCCTGTGTGATCACAAGGTGTTGATGGGATCAGGGATCAGGCGTCAAAGACCCAGAACAAAAAATCCTATTGTGAATGAGGGGGAGTGCAGAGTGGAGACCCCCAAAGCACATCTGTAGGCAACTGGACTTCCCTTTACAGAAGGGTCACAGGGAGTAGATGAGCCAGTCAGGGTGGGGTATAGCCACAATGAAACATAAAACTTTCCTCTAGTTCTTTAATGTTCCTCCCCCCACTATCATGATCGCAATTTTACCTTACAAATCCGGCTAGACCAGAGGATGTACACTGATATAGACAGGAACTGGAAACACAGAGAATCCAGGACAGATAAACCCCTCAGGACCAATAATGAGAGTAGCAATACTAGGAGGAAAAGGGGAAGGTGGGGTCAAAAGGGAGAGCTAATCACAAGGATCTACATATAACTCCCCCTCCCTGGGGGACAGACAACAGAAAAGTGGGTGAAGGGAGACATCAGACAGTGAAAGACATGACAAAATAATTTGTAAATTATCAAGAGTTCGGGTGGGAGGGAGAAAATTGAGCTGATACCAACGGCTCAAGTGGAAAGAATGTTTTGAGAATGATGATGGCCACTAATGTACAAATGTGCTTGACACAATGGTTGTATGTATGGATGGTGATAAGAGTTATTTGAGCCCCCAGTAAAATGATTTTTAAAAATTAAAAATACGGAAGCTAATGCCAAAGAAGAGTGCTCACAGATGTTCATTAGCCCCTAAAATGTTTGTTATTAATGGCTTTCTAGCATGTAGGATAAAGTAAGGAAATTACTTCAAGATTCTCCAATGGGTAGTTTATATTGGCGTGCTGTACCAGATACAGGAAGGTTGCTGGAATCAGGAGAAAGACAGTGATGTATATTTCCGATTTGGTGGCATGCAGTGGCTTTTGCACTGGGCTTCTGTAAGTCTCATGGGTGTAGGCGGTGGTGGAATAAGGCCGTACTTGTTCATTCAAGCACAGTTATGTGTCTAGGAGCCTGAGTGGTATAGTGGCGACGTGTGGGCTGCGAACCACAAGGTCAGCAGTGTGAAAGCACTACTGGTTCCATAGGAAAACAGGGACGGGACCGGAATCCCATGGAGCAGGTCTACTTTGTCTTACAGGGTCCAGATAAGTCTGCTTTTGTTTTGTTTTGTTTTGTTTTTCATTACTCATACTAAGCCCTGGTGGCGCAGTAAAGAAGCACTCAGTTGCTAATCAAAAGGTCAGAGCTTCATAGTGACCAGCCATTTCAGGGAAGAAAAAGGAGGCTCTCTGCTTCCATAACCCCCCCACCCTCCCCCACCCCACCCCATGAGGCAGTTCCCTGCCCTTTCAGGTCACTAGAGGTCAGAATCGACTCTGGCGGTGGGGCTGGTTCTCTTGGTGATCGCAAGCTTCAGATGGTCTCAGACAATAACACCAACCCCCGTTGTATAGTGTTGCCCAAATCTTTTTTAATCACCACCTCTGTGTTGAGAAAGATTAAATGAAAGCTGATTGATTAAATTAGTCTATTTCATTTCCCCCTATGGAGAAAAACCAAGCCATAAAGAATCATATTTTGCCAGGTAAGATAAAGCTTTGGAGGGCCCCAAACCATCATAAGAGGGAAGACTTATTTGTCCCCCCCAAGGATCAGTTTTCTCTCTGCTGAGGGATATCTCTCCCATTGAAAATGCATGTTACCATCATATCACTGCAAAGATTACATATTATTATTTAAACAAAACGCTTTTTATAATCACATTTGTTAAAACTGATGCTTTATGGTGGCTTTACAAACTCATTGCTCATTTTAAATTAAGGCCTCTCTCTTCCTAACAGATGAGAAGGGATTTACAGCACTGGGACAGTGCTTTGCAGTTAGCAAAGCGTTTGGCCCCAGACCAGATACCATTTATATCCAAAGAATATGCTATTCAGCTTGAATTCACGTAAGTCTCACTTTTACAGGTTTCAATGAAGACTAAATACTGTATATCTGTGATTTTAAACTGCCTTTAATTATCAGGTCCTCTATTGATTCGATAATTACCTTTCAGGAAAAGCAAAAACAAAAAAACTCTTATGTTAAATATACATCTCATCAGTGTTGCTGTACCTATGTTTATCCACTTTTGTTTTCAACATAAAAAAATCTAAATTCTCTCCGAAGCATTTTCTCCCTTTACAGCAGTGGTTCTTAACCTTCCTAATGCCATGCCCTTTAATACTGTTCCTCATGTTGTGGTGACACCGCCCCCAAACATAAAATTATTTTCATTGCTACTTCATAACTGTAATTTTGCTACTGGTATGAATCAGGCGACCCCTGTGAAAGGGTCATTTGACCCCTAAAGGGACTTGACCCACATGGTGAGAACCACTGCTTTAGAGTCTACATGTTGGTCTGAATCACATGTGTGCATCAGGAGTTAGGCATGGTGTCAGGGAGACACTCTGCTTTTCGTAATATGTATTTTGAACTATCAATAGTAAATCCATAATCTTAGTTTTCATAGTGCTCTGCTTTCACTCTGCTCTGTTAGCACTTTGAGGACTTGCAGTGTCATTTCAAGACACAGCGGAAAACACCAGGGTTTAGTGTCCACCTTCTATCCTCTTAAAAGAGTCATCTTTCTCTTTAGAGTTGAATTGCACGTGGAGTAGACAGTAGACAGTTAGTGTTGGAAGTCAAGCCAGAATCTTTTCACAGAGGGATATCCACTGCTTAAGTAATAGTCCTTTATGATCGGTGAATAGTCTTCTCAAATCACTTCTACCTGTGGAAATTCTACAGTCTAGCCTGATGAGAGATTGAGAATTTCACAGTCTATTAATTGCAGTAGATATGAATTTTTATCCCAATGCCACATGATAGTATAATTTTAGAGATATTTAGGACCCAGGGAGGTTGGTTTTGTTTGTTAACTTTTTATTGCGAATTAGGTGAAAGTTTACTGAGCAGATGATAGTCTTCCATTCAACAGTTCATACTCATTTCCGGATTCAGCTCATCCATGGCACAATCCCCTTTATGTACCACCACGTGCCCTACTTCCTCCTCGTGTTTTTTATTTCCCTTCCTCCGCCTTTTCTAACCCCCTGCACTTAGTCCTTGGGCAAATGCTGCCCATTTGATTTTAAGTGGTCATTGTTATGACTTTGAGTTTTAGTCTACATTTTTCTTCCACTCTCTCGAGGACCTTCGAGTGTGATCTTTTTCAGAGCAGTTGGTAGCACCATATAATTCTTCTGATCTCAGGGTTGTGGTTACTGATGTTTGCATGGTCCATGGGTCCATTGGATTAGCTGTTTTGGGGACCCAGCTTTACATTACCAGGCAGCCATGGCTGGTACTACTAGTGCCAATACCTACAGAGATAATAAGTCCACCTGTGTTTCTGCAAGTACAACTGCATTTTGATTTTCTCTGTCTGACCACCAGAGCACTTCTTTTTGACAGCTATTACATTTCAATATCAAATGCATTCCAATATCAAAATAGGGGATGGGGTATAATCTTTAAACAAAGATAATATGGTTTTAATATTTGGCTTTTTTTCAAAGCATACTTTTGTATAATTCCATCTTATTTCATGTTGAATTTAGATTTAATGAGAACATTGGTGCACAAATTCTAGTTGTAGAAATTATTCTGTCTAATTTTATCAAAACAACTCTTTCATTTCTAACCAGAATACCTCATTTTGGGTTTTTGCATTCTAAAAGTAAAAATTGTTTGGAGATTTCGTTTCTTCTTAATCAGCCTTGATTTAAATTAGCCATATTTTTGCCCCTCACAAAGTAAGCCCATAGGCTAAAAAGGGAAAATTAGAATCACAGTGCATAATACAAGTGCCTTGTCCATCACCACCCATCCTGAGGGTGACGGGATCTTAGAGACAAAACTCCTATGTTGAAAAGACCAGAGAGCTGACCCATCACATCCCAAGTCAGTACAGATACTAAGAGATTTCAAAAAAGTTGGTGGAAAATTCCCATTATCTTTTGATTCTTTTTTTTCCTCATGAACTGTTTGAAGCCCCAGTACACCCTCAACCCATCCTGAAGTCTTATTTTCACAGGAATTGAACCTCTTGAAAAAAATTCTGATACTTTGTTTCCTTAGAGTCGTTTGAGCAGGAGGCCGATTAAGAGCCCTGTTTTGTTGCTTTCTGCCCTTCCTGCTAAACACCTGATGATGGAGCCAATGGGCTACCGATTCCTGCCGTTCTGTCTGCTGACTCCTGGACCCTGATCTAGGCACACATCCTGGCCTTTGCTAGGATGGTAACCAATTTAGGTCTCCCAGCAGCCACCAGCTGCCGACTTTGGCCTAAGGTGCTAGGTCTACCCTCAAGCCCTGCAGTCTGTTTCATTCTGCATCCAAGACCTTGATGAGATTGAAGGAGGAGCAATCTGCTAAACCTGGGAAGGATTTCTCTCTAGTCTGGGATTCGGGGAATGAATTGGATCTGTATGAGAGTTCCAAAGTAAAATAATCATGAAACAAGTGTGCCAAAGTGCCATGAAAATAAAGGGAGAGTTCCGGAATCATAGCCTAGCAGTTCCTAATTGAGCTTGTTGCACACAGAAAACCCAAGACATTGGAAGGAGGGACTCTTTCCTGTTGTCAGGAGACATCTAACCCAATTACATTGAGTCCAGCACAATAGGAATTTCCATTCAGGACCACTGTTGGCTGTGTTGCCCTGGGTTCACCAAACAAAAGTTTGATAATAGCAGACCACACTCAGTTCTAGTAAAGCCTTTTGACATCAACAGATGAGGAACTGTAGGCTTACAGACGCCAAGGACCTTGTCTCAGCTGGTAAATGGTGGAGCCAAGATAGGTCTCAAGTATTAATCTTTCCAGCACTCAGTAATTTATTCTGGAAGAGATGGTTTCTCAGAGGATGAAGGCTGTCATGAAAACATTAGGCAAATCACTGACCGAATTATGTCCCAAATAATGAAACTAAGTTGAGATAATAAGTGTATATTGCAGTGTACAGAATACTGTTAGCATCTGTGATGGCAATCATGTTTTTACTTGTACATAATTCTTGTTATCAGAGTCAGAGCAGGACTCTCAGTATTATCCTCATCTAGCCAACAGCAACTCAGTTTCTCAATTACATTCTGTTTCTAAATGTTGGTTCACTGGCAATGGAGCCCCAGTGAAACAGTGGTTATGCGCTGGCTGCTAACCACTGGTCGGGTTTGAAGCGGTCAGCTGCTGCACGGGAGAAAAAAGAGACTCCCCTCCTGTAAAAAGCGACCGTCTCAGAAACCCGCAGGGGCAGTTCTCCTCCGCCTGTAAGTTGCAATAGACTCGATGGCAGTGCTTTTTTTTTTTTGGCAAACGCATTCACTTTTATGGTCACCATTGCCATTTCGTGCCCTGAAGAGAATAACCAGAAGTAGCCCGTAAAACTTAATGCGGATTCCAAAAATATCTGGCATGCCCAAAGAAAGTGCCTTCCAGTCTAGTCTGATCGGCCCTGGTGACTTTTTCTAAGTCGCAAAGGAACAGCGGGCCGCACTCGGACAGGACATGCTCGTGTGTGTCGCGGATGTCACAACTTTTGTCAGCTGAAGCAACTTGGTGGCAAAGATGATCTTAAATCTTGTCTGCATCCATGAAATATGTACATATGTATGAGAATTCACTCTTGATTTTTCTTGCAGGGGTGATTATGTAAATGCTTTGGCTCATTATGAGAAAGGGATAACAGGTGATAATAAGGTAACTTTGAATAAAGATAAGACGTTCATAATTATCCTGCATGTGTTTGCTTCGTTTCCATTTTAAAAATCATAATCTTTTTTGCATTTTAATTGTTCACTAATTAGTAGGTGAGCCCCCCTTTCAGTTTGTTAGCAACTTTAAACTCTTAAAAACTGAAGATGGCAATATTTTTGTCACTTTGAGAACAATTTGTCTTCTAGTGCATTTATAACTGTTTCTCATCCAGGTTGGAAGTAAGATTTTTATCCTTTCCCATTCCTCTGATAACTATGCTTTTTATAAGGCTTTCCCCCCCTTTTCCCCTTGGAAAGCACGTTGGCCATTCCCAGTTCATAAGAGCCCCCCTGGCCTGCCATCGGCCATGTTGAATTCTTCTAAGGTCAACCTAGAAAGTGGGTACTTTACCCTCTCCCCCAAATTTTAGCTCAGTAGGCTACATTTTATCATGAAACTTGGTTTCTAAGTTAGGTGACACCTTGTAAAGGTTGAAAATATTTCGCTTTTCTCAGCGTTTTTATTACAAAAGTAATGCAAGCTCATTGCAGTCTGTTTTAACTCTGAAGACTGTGCGACAGGAAAGGGAGAGGTCCATGTCCTCTCCTCAGCCACACCCTGATGGCGACACCATTGATGCTCGGTGTATTTCCATTCAGAGTCCTGTCCAAGCATATGGGTATGCTCGGTACGGATCTTCACTAGAAACGGAATCGCCCATCGAGGACCCGCTCTGTACAGAGCAGCACATGGCCTTCCTCACAGTCTTTCCAAGTCAATAGATAAACTCGTTACCTACTTTTAACAGTGTCAGCATCCCGGTTTTGGATGGCCACTCTTTTTTTTCCATCCATTCTCTAACTGAAGTAATATTGTTACTGGATTTTTTTAGGTTTTGCCTATTATCAACTATCTGTAAAAAAATTATACCTAGTACATATATCATTAGCTACCTAAGTAACTGCTTCTGAAGGCTATATTCTTATCTTGGTGAGATTACAAGGCTATAAAGTGTGCTTTTAATGGTTGATGATGCTCAATTGTTTTACAAACAAGAAGTGTAGTAGTTCACCCACCAGCAATAGAGAGAATATCCATTTCTCCCATATTCTCACCAACACTGAATGTTATCCATTATTTTATCCTTACCAATTTGATAATTAGTGAAATTAGGCATGTTTTTCACTATTTTTGCCCAATTGTATGTATTTTTTATGGTGCAAAGATTGCCTAAACATAAAAAGGGACTTTAAAAATTTGTGAGAAATTTAATCATGTTTTAATTTAATTTTTTCACAAATGTTTTGAAGTTCCCTCATAGCTTTTGCTCTTTTTGCCCTTGAGCTTTTGGTATTTTCTTTGTTTGGCTACATCCAGGTAGTTCATCTTTTATCTTTGGTGTTGAATACGGTAATCATTAGACACATCTGCCTATATTCATTGAATGATTTAAATGAAATGATTTTAAATTCAATTTTTAAAATGACAGTAGCCATAGTTCAAGTTCTCAGTTAACACATGTGGCTGTTAGCTACCATCTCGGACAGAGATGCTATAGAATACTTGCATCATTGTAGAAACCTTGGCTGGACAGGCTGCTTGGATAACGTGTAATCAGAGATGACATTTCTCCAGTTGTTGTTAGGTGCTTCCGAGAGAGCTCCTACTTGTAGCTGGATGATGTCCAACAGAAGTGACATACTGCCCGGTCCTGCCACCCTCCACTTGGAGCCCAGTGGTGCAGCGGCGCTGTCAGTCCGTCATTGAGTGCCTTCCTGTTTTGATTTTTACTAGTGCTGATTATTATTTGAACATTTCTTTGCTTATCAATATTATCTTTAGTACACTAAACAATTCAGAAAAACTGTTTACAAATGTCTAAATATGTCCACTAATCTCCAATGCTGCTTGTGGCGTGGGCGTGGGCGTGGGGTTGACGCTCTTCTCTGCACCTGTCTGTCTAGGGTAAAAGTTGGTGAGTTTCTGCCTCATGTCTCCTCTCCAAAGATTCACTTGCAATTTGATCAAACTTTTTATTTAATAATTTTTATAGAATAAACACTACATATCAATGTAATTACTTCTTATATAAAACTTTATAGCAAGAGTCCATATTAAGGCATACAAACTGTTTAGATTCATTCAAACCCAAGAGTGTGAGTCTTTTACCAGAGCAGACAGCCTCATCTTTCCCCTTCAGAACTGCTGGTAGTTTTGAACCACCAGCCCTGCAGTTAGCAGCCCAACGCTTGTCCCCTAACACCACAACGGTAGTCAGAGTTTGGTCTTAAGCATCAAAGATCGGGATCTTGAAGACAAAGAAACTCTGCAACAACTACTTTGTTTTCAAATGCTGAGTATATTTTCAAACTCCTGGGACGTGGCCTGAAAGATGACTGAAAGTAAACTCTCTTCCTCGAACTAATTTCAGACCGAAAGCATTTGTTCGGTATGAAATACGAGGGAGGAGCCAGGATGGAGTCGTGGGTCACGTGTTGCTAACGTGCGGCTAACTGCAAAGGCAGCTGTTTGAGCCCACCAGCCGCTGCGGGGAAGAATGATGAGGCTCTCTGCTCCCACAGACTGACAGCCCTGGGGAGCAGTCGTTCTCTGTGCCAGAGGGTGGCCATGAGTCCGAATCGACTCGACGGCCATCGTTTGTTATGAAACATACGAACCCACAGCTCTTTAAGCTCGGAATTGTCAGAATGTGCCTTCCACTTACAGGAACACGATGAGGTATGTCTGGCCGGAGTCGCCCAGATGTCCATTAGGATGGGAGACATACGGCGAGGAGTTAACCAAGCCCTCAGACATCCCAGCAAGGTCCTGAAACGAGACTGTGGAGCCATCCTGGAGACTATGAAGGTATCCCTTTCTCGGTGTACACAGCGTGCCTGACACACAGCACATGGTGTATTTTAACCGTCTTATTTTAACCTCAGCAATTTTCAGAAGCAGCGCAACTGTATGAAAAAGGTCTGTACTATGACAAAGCCGCATCCGTGTACATCCGCTGCAAGAACTGGTAAGAATCTGCTAACGTTTCCTTCTGACCAGCTTGGCAATAAAGTGCTGGGGATGCCTCACTGCCTACTTCGCTTCTGCTCCCACCTGTACAGTCCAGCCCCTAACTGGGCCTGCTCTCCCCTTGTTCCTTCTCACATGAGTTCATGTTCGTAACGTTTTTAAAAAAATAAAGAAGACCACATTCATCTGGTCTCTGTCGGAAATCCCCGTCACAGAAACCCCCAAGGAGAGGGATCAAAACCTGGTTTAAGTAGCCGATCTTCTTTCCCACTCCTGGGCCTGGGGTCCATTGAAACAGCAACCCAATCTACTACTACCCAGCTGGGAGCAAAGGGGAGGGTAACTTTGGGCGGTAGAATGCTGCTTGTGGTGTGGGCGTGGGGTTGACGCTCTTCTCTGTACCTGTCTGTCTAGGGTAAAAGTTGGTGAGCTTCTGCCTCATGTCTCCTCTCCGAAGATTCACTTGCAATATGCCAAAGCCAAAGAAGCGGATGGAAGGTTTGTACAGGTTCACCAATGTATCCAAATTTAAAAATAAGGTCAGTTTTTAAAATAGCCATTGGTACACATGGAAAAAGCACACCAACCTGTGTGATCATGAGGTGTTGATGGGATCAGGTATCAGACATCAGAAGAAAAAACAATCATATTGATGCAAACAAGGGGGGGCTGGAGTGGAGACCCAAAGCCCATCTGTAGACAATTGGACATCCCCTCACAGAAGGGTCACAAGGAAGGGACGAGCCAGCCAGGGTGCAGGACAGCACTGACAAAACACAGCATTTCTCTAGCTCATTAATACTTCCTCACTCCCACTATTGTGACCCCAGTTCTACCTTACAAATCCAGCTAGACCAGCACATTTACAGATACAGATAAGAGCTCTCAACACAGAATCTAGGATAGATAAACCCCTCAGGACCAATAATGAGAGTAGTGATACCATGAGGGTAGGGGAAAGATGAAGAGAGAAGGGGGAGAAAGGAGGAACCAATTGCAGTGATCGCTGTACAACCCTCCTCCCCCCATGGGGGATGAACAACAGAAATGTGGGTGAAAGGAGACACTGGATGGTGTAAAATATGAAAATAAAAATAATTTATGAATTACCAAAGGTGGGAGGGCGAGGGGGGGAGGGGAAAAAAGAGGAGCTGATACCAAGGGCTCAAGTAGAAAGAAAATATTTTAGAAATAATGATGGCAACATGTACAAATGGGCTTGATATAATTGATGTATGGATTGTTATACAAGCTGTAAGAGCCCCCAATAAAATGATGTATTAAAATTTTAAAAATAATAATAGCCATTGCTGTTTGCAAGCCGTGGTTACGCCACTGGGTGAACGTTGGCTGCCCCAAGGTGGGCAGTTAGACCCGCAGTCACCCCCGAGGAGAAAGATGAGGCTGTCTCCTCCTTTCACGACTGACTGCTTCAGAAGCCCGAGGTAGGGTTGCCGGGCATCGTAATCAACTTGAGGGCAGAGTTTGGCTCAGTAAGGCCCAGGGTCCTGGTGCACAGTGGTTACACGCTTGGTGGCCAACCAGAAGGTTTGCAGTTCAGCTGCTGCTCCAAAGGCCTGGTTGTTCCCATAAAGGCCACAGCCTGAGACACACTCCCAGGCAGTCCCACTCTGTCACAGTGGGTTGCTATGGGTCAGAATCGACTTGCTGGCATCTGACAACAAGAAAAACAACCAAGCAGAGAGAGAACACTGCCCTGCCCAGCCTGACGGCGCATGCTGTCTGTTTTTCTCGACCTCAGCCCCTCCCTCGCGTGTTTAAATGGAGACCCCTCTCTCCATCTGAGGGTTAGATGTGGAAAGTTGAGGTTTTGATGTAATATGGCAGGCAACTGCAGTAATGATTTTATTAAGGACAGTAACTCGGGCGATGCAGATGGAAAGAACAAGGAATGCGCGTGGATCCACACGTCTGGCTGCACTCTGTGAGCCACAAGTAGTATTAAAATCTAGCAGTAGCTGGTTAATGTCCTAACTCCACAAAGGGCTCCTACAAATTAATTCAAGGAAGTCAAAAACCTTAGTAGGGAAATGGGTCAAGGGCAAGTCCCAGACGAGACTATGCAACTATCAAATAAATGTGGAAAAAAGTTTTACCTTACTGAAAGAAATTCAACTCAAGTAACAATTTAAACGGAACTCACTGCCGAGTCAATTCTGACTCGTCGGGACCCTGTAGGCAGGGCAGAACTGCCCCAGTAAGACTGACTCTTTATGGGAGTAGAAAGCCCCATCTTTCTCCCACGGAGCAGCTGGTGGTTTCTAACTACTGACCTTGTGGCTCGAAGCCCAACGTTCCACTACTCCACCAAGTAACAATCTATCATAAATGGCCATATCAGGGAAAACGTATGTGGAGTCAAAATGCACTTGTTACATGTAACCAATAGCAGTGGAACTTCCTGTAAGTTTTGGGAAGTCATTGGTAATGATGTTCTAAAAGATTTTGAACGGTTATTATCCACCTTTCTAAAGTGGAGGTGGCACAGTGGTTACACATTGGGCCGCTAGCTGCAAGGTCAGCAGTTCAAAACAGACAGCTACTCGATGGGAGAAAGATGGAGCTTTCTACGCCCATAAAGAGTTACAGTCTGGGAAACCCACAGGGGCAGCTCTATCCTGTACTGTAGGATCACTCTGAGTTGACATCAACCGGATGACAACGAATCTGTCTGTTGTTTTTAGTTAGGTAACCTCAGGAAATGGAGTTTGCGCTCCTTGCTCTGTGGGGCTGAATCTGTCTGTT